TACCAGCAGTCTTAGTAAATATCTGCAAGAAAAGAGCATGGACGTTATCACCACCAGGAGAAACGTGGACCTCACCATCAAGACCATCAGAGACTTTTGGGACGAGGATAGCTCCGAACGATTGTAGACTTCAGCACAGATCTTTGCTGATAAGATAAAAGAAGGAATTGAAGGGACTTGATTCACATTAAAGGAGACGAGAGCACCAAGAAGTGTACCATCCTACTGCTTGCAAGTGATCATTGGCGAATTAACTGATTCTGCACATGTACAAACCCTGAAAGAACCCCACCATATCAATACATACTATCGAAGCCTCGACAAAGGGCTCTGTGAAGTAAAATCATACATCGAAGGTTACGACCAAGACATCTTGTGTGTCTCAGGGGACAATTTGCTGAACAACTTACCTTTGGATGACAGCTTCAAAGTGGTATCAGGTTTTTAGTGAATTATGATATATGAAGACTTACTTCCGCACAGCAGTGGGACAAGACCATTTGAACAATATTATTATTGTAAACATTGAACGAGTTTACACTTACTGAAAACTATATGAACAAAATTATCGACAATTTCAGTAGGACAAAGTTTATTTTTTCTGAGTCTCTAATATTGAGTTTAATAGTTGTATTTAGTAACCAATGTGTATTGTTTCATTTCCATCATTTCACATATTCAGGACGAACATCGTGTTTTGACATATTACTCTATGTATAAATAGATTCATTAGCGTTATTATTCAAATTCTGGCATTTTATGCTGTAACTTAAAATTGGGGCATATTTTTGCTTGCCTCCTCCCGCGAAAATGTTGTTTGTTTGTTTGTTTGTAACTAAGCACAAAGCTGCACAATGGGCTATCTGTGCTCTGCCCACCACGGGTATCGAAACCCGGTTTCTGATGTTGTAAGTCTTCAGACATTCCATTGTGCCACTGCCCCCTCCTAAAAAAAAGAGTTGGCCACTATGCAAAACACTTGCACTTCTTAGGCATAACCTGTTTCTTCTTTTTGAATAACATCCGAATTATCCATAACTGTTCATATTGACGGTTTTTATAAGTTTGGACTGTAACTCTTCCTGTTTTCTTATAATCCATCTTTTCCTGGTAATTTTTTTTATGTATGTTGAATTTAGCGAAAAACTGTTCGAAGGCTAACTGCACTAGCATTCTCTAATATTGAAGTAATAGATTAGAGGAAAGGCAGCTAGTCAAAACTACCTACCACCAAATCTCGGCCTACGTTTTACCAACGAATTGTATTATTTACTGTCACATTATAGTACCTCCATGGCTGAAAGGGCGAGCATGTTTGTCGATGGATTTCAATTCCGCAACGCACAGAATGCGAGTCGAGTGCCCTAACCACTGGACACTCCCAAACTACCTGGCAAAAGTAAGCAGCTGGATTTAGTTTTGTAAATCGTATCTCAGGCTATCTTAAATTATTAGTTAGTTTAGTGAATTCTCAAATTAACGAATTATTTCCATTCACTTCAGTACCAATAAGGTCTATATTTCGCATCCAATTGAGTACTTTATATTTTTGTCTGTTACAACACCGAGTGACCGAAGATATTGGGTGAAATCATTCATTTTTTTACATAGCATACATAGGAAACCGCAGCATTGTTATTAATTATATTAATTCCAATAATGACAGTATTTTTGTTTACATTTCTCGTATGACTGATATGCTATTAAAAGTCTCGTTGTGGGCTTATAAGCAACTTGATGCCTAAATAGTTAGAAAAATGCGTTTAAAAATCTAGTGGTGTACTTATGGAGTAAATATAAGTGACTATATATATATATTATCTATAATGCCTGCCAGCTATGTTGTCAAAGTCAACTATTTGCACAATAGCTTTTTATGATTCAATAATTATACACGTATTAATTAATAAAATTTAATGTATCTATGTATTAGGATTTTAATTCTAAAGATTTTATAAGTAATGCCGTGGTTTAACAGCACATATCTATGTATTTTTATATATTTTTTATCGGCCTTTTTATTTCTAGCTCAAAGAATTACAAAATGATCGTACCTTAATTTTACGGTAGTTTGCTAAACAGATTTTGTTTAGAAAAAATTCAAATAATTTAATGCACATAATTTCGCATTTGTACAGGAACATATACTTTTTGAAAATTAAATCAATGTATTATTAAGTCATTATTTACAAAAAGTCTAAGCATTTTTCACTTTAAAGTTTAACGCACTCATGGTGCAACATTATGGTTGCAAGTCGAGTGGTATTTGAATATGCTATAGACTAGTCGAAGCTAGAAGTAAGCGAATACTTTGCTTTCATGCATCATTGAATAACAGTAATATAATTTTCTTATATACTTCTTATGCAAAGGTTAAATCAGTAATAATAGGTTCTAATTCATTTCGTTGAAACCCGAAAAGTCACTCTGTAATATTTACTATTGCAAGAATTTATCTTTAGTAAATAGTGCTATGCACAAATAAATGATGCAGCACAGGAAACCAAGAATGATTTCTACAACAACATGCAGCAAGTCCTCCATAAGCAAGGAAGAAATGCATTATTTTGGTGATGGATGACTTCAACACGAAGGTTGGGCAAGACAATACTGGTCGTGAACAAGTCATGGGAAAACGAGTAATGAATGATAAGGGAAAATAATTTAGTGACTTTTGTGTTTCAGAATTTGTAATGCCTACTAGAGGGACTTACACATTCTGGTAATAAAATTAGAGAAAAATAACATTTACATGCCAGATAATTATTAGAGAACTTTCATTTTAACCGACGTTTCGCCTTTGCAGCTTCTCCAAGGCTATTATAGTTATAATTCTGCTATAATATTAGGACAATAGTAAAAACAATAATAATATTCTATACGTTGTTAGAGGCGCGTTATGGCAGACTTGAGAAATAGAACATCACAGTCAGTTTTATGATTTAACGAATATTCTAATATCAAACATTGTTTGTACTAGTCCTGGAGAATCAGCAAAGGTGAAACTTCAATTAAACTAAAAGTTATCTTATAGTTATGTAGAGTGTAAAGGTAGTTTTTAACTTTATTATAAGAATAATGATTTCTTATCCCTTAACAGCCTTGTCATCAGTGGGAGTGTCTTACCCAATAAGAGAGTGCACAAAGCTACATGGGTCTCACCAGACCACAGCAATGACAACCAGATCGACCACGTCTGCATCGGTTCGAAGTTTGAAAGGTCACTATTAGATGTAAGAGTAATATTAGGAGCAGATGCTGCCTCGAACCATCACCTTCTGGTATGCAAGCTCAGGCTCAAACTCAAGAGGTTCACATTAACTACAAGAAGGACCAGTACCAAATTCAAAAATGTAAATATACATCAGAACATAACCATAGCAGAGCAATTTTAAACCAGCCTCTCAGACAAATTTCAAGCTCTAGAATTTCTAGAAAAGCTAGAGGAGGAAGATCAAACCCTCGAACACAGATGGCAAGTGATGAAGAAGGCATGGTCAGAAGTACGTGAAATACTATAGACAGAAAACTAGACAAAAATTATAGAGGCATTATGTTACTCTCCACACCAGGAAAAGTTCTGATGAGAATAAACCTAGAAAGGATAAAAATGGCGCTAGACAAACAGCTGAGAAACCAAAAGGGTGGCTTCAAAAAGGACGGGTCCTATACAAATAATATAGCTAGACTTCTCATCATTGTGTAACAGTCGCTGGAATGGAACTCACCAGTTACATTATATTCAATGATTTCCAAAAGGCTTTTGACAAAATAAGCCCGGATAGAGCTCACTGTTAGCAAGGATAAAACCAATGTGATTCACATCAACAACGGCAAAGAAAACAACATCTTCCTAGAGGTAGAAGTTTTAGTGAGAATGGACATATTTACTTACCTGGGAAGTGTCATTGAAAATGACGAGCCAGATAAGGATATCCAAACAAGGATGGAAAGGCAAGGTCAGAATTCTTAACTCTAAGACCAGTCTGGAACTCCAAGAAAATATTACAAAAGACCAAGTTTCGTATTTTCAACAATAATGTTAAATCTGTATTTTAGCATGGAGCAAAAGCATGGAGAACAATAAAGGCAACAACTTCAGGTCCTTCATCAACAAGTGTCTAAGGACCATCCTAGGTTTACAATGGCCAAACACCCTCAGAAATTAGTCCCAGTGGGAAAAAGTTGAACTGTAATAAATAGATGTACAGATAAAACAAAAAAAGTGCTGTTGGATTGTACACGCACGTAGGAAACCCAAGACTAATGTCACCAGACAATCCGAAACATGGAACCATCAGAGTAAAAGAAACCGTGGTAGGCTTAAGAACAGCTAGAGAAGGTCAGTAGAAGCAGAGTTGAGGGAATGAACTAGAGAGACTGACTTCGATGAACATTTGTGGATGACCAATGCTCTCCAAAAGTGAAAAAGTTTTTGTAAGCAATATAGTTTAACATGGTTACACATACAACAGATACGCATAGAGCCCACAAAGAGCTGAAAATGTTGTGTATTTATCGAGGTTAGTGCATAACGTCGAAACTGGCGAACTCGTACAATTTTTTGTGATGTTTTACTATTACGTTTTAAAAGTTCCATAATTTAAAAGAGCCTAATAAATCAATCTAACCACAAGTAGAGGTTACATCCAGTAGGCTGCTATTTCATAGATTTTACCCGTTTTAGCCTTCTTTGTTAACTTTAACATTCCGTTCATGTTCTGGCAAAATGAAAACTGTAACAACTGACATCTCTATTATACTAATTTAATTATAAGCAATTTGCTTATTGATCGATAAATTAAACAAACTTAAGTAACCTATTCAAATAACGTCTGTTATACAAAGAGGTTATTTTTCTTTTAACTTTGCCTAAGTGCTTGTCATTTAAGAAGCAGTAAAACAAATTGATATTATATTTTTGGATTTAAAAAATCTATCAAACATACGTCGGATAAAATCAAATTTTTATTATACATTGATAAAACAGGTTATTTATGCATTTTTTAGCTGTTTTTAATTTACTGATAACATCCAGTATACATGGAGCAGAACAAATTTTACAACCGGCAAAGCTTCATATAAACCGTCAAAGCAGAGCTGTTGAAAATAATGTCTGTAACACTGAGGTAAACAATATTTTAACTCAAACCAACACAACCTTATTCTAGCTTTAAACACATCAAACGACAGATATTGAGTATTCAATAACCGTGAGTCAATTTTGAAAATGTTTTTGACAGATAAAAAAAGAGAAAATTGGTATCAATAAACGTAGTATCGCTGATTATTCACATTTTTACTTTTAAACAAGTTAATCATAAACACTGACAGATTGCACACACTTTACTAAAACCATGAACCATGTATTTTACACTAAGTAAAAAACAATAATTGTATCTCCTCTATAGAATTAGAGAATATCAGAACATTGTACTTTACAAAAGGCTAACCCAGGTGATTAATGAATGTTTAGTGCTTACTGGGTTAAAAAGAAAACAATAAACATTGCCATCTTATATTTTGTTCATAGTAAGAAAGTACCTGTCAATGATACAATACAGAATATTTTAGTTGGATTTTCATGTGTAAGTGAGAAAGTACCTGTCAATGATACAATACAGAATATTTTAGTTGGATTTTCATGTGTAAGTGAGAAAGTACCTGTCAATGATACAATACAGAATATTTTAGTTGGATTTTCATGTGTAAGTGGGCTAACAAGCTCGAATGAATTGGATTTTAAATCAAAAATTATTTTGGTTTTCGTAATCGAGCATATGACTATAAATAAAAGGGATAACTCGATCATGTTATAATTTTCTTCTAAAGTCGAAAGGCTGGTAATGAATTAATTGCAATCCCTAAAATTGCGAAATTTCTCTGAATTCGTTTGCTTTATAATGACATATGAGGATATGTAAACTCAAAATCTAGCCATTGGTCTGATTAAGTAGTTATTGTGCGACAACAGTAGGGGTCCAGTGGCGATCACATTCTGTATCTGAGACTTCCAATGGGTCACCACAAATATCCACTTGACCTAATCTTGGCTTGTGAAACCGTTTTGGGTTTTTGTTAGGTTTCTCCTCTGGAAAGCTGAAAAAATATATATGTATGTTTTCACAAAAACACAAATTTCACGAACAATTACTAACTAATAATGACATTATACCTATGACCATTCTTCTACAATATTATTAATCGTATGTGTTAATTTAAAGTGAAGTTTCAGTATATTAAATTCAGGATAAAATATAACACACACACACACACACATATATATATATAGCGAGCGAGAGAGAGAGAATTATACTGATGTTTTCTTCATCAGTCTTTTCTAGGGAAACATGATTCCAAGAAAGTTTTTTTTTTATGTGACAATACATCAGAATAGGTCAGATACAATTTTGTTAACAATTTTTTCTTTAGTGCCCTGTACTGGTTTCCAGTGAGAAGAACATAATAACATCTCGACCAAAAAACGCCCCCAGTGGCACAGCGGTATGTCTGCCGACTTACAACGCTAGAAACCGGGTTTTGATACCCATGGTGGTCAGAACACAGATAGTTCATTGTGTAGCTTTTGCTTAATTTCAAACAAACAAACGACCAAAACACTTGTGTGCTGCACTCCGCTACCGACGAGAGATTTCGTTCAATACTAAATATCATCAGCTTTGCTGGGAATACAACACACAAAGCCTTAGTCGAAACGCTATTCATATCCGCCATTTATAAGTTATCAATTATTGTCTTATAAAATACTTATCCATAGACGCTAGCATAGCATGGCTCTTTCGTATCTGTCCTCATTTACCCACAAAATTATTTAACGTAAAGTTCTGCATGTTTATGCTCGATGGTATGAGAGACGTGGACTTTAGTTTGTTAATCTCATGGTGTTTTCACTTCACTTTCAGACTGAAGGTTTTCGAACTAAGACAAGAAGTCGTATAATTAGTTTTCAAACAATCAAGTTCAGTTGTATGTGTAGAATTAGCTTTACTGTACAAGTAGCTATGTTTATATTCAAGGAACAGTCTAGCGATATTCCCTGACGCCAATTACATATCACACTGGTGTTTCTTCTTTATTCGGGTTATTATTTATTATTCGAAGTTCAGTGACCTGGCCCACACATTTATTCATTCAGCTGTAATGTTTCTTCATAATGAAATTCTGTGTCTCATTACAAGGAAGAGGGATTTTCTATACTTAAACGAGTTGATATAAGAATTTTTAAATTTTGATAAAAATGTATTTTATTTCGATTTACTTTCGAAGAGGAAGCAAAAATCACGTATCAAATATTTCTTACGTATAAGGAAAGTGTTTCTTCATGTTATCTGATTTTTAACCAAATTGACAAATTCGCAGTAGCTTCATATTTTTTATATAAAATATCAACAAAAGTCCAATTTATCTAAAGCTAGTGTATGTTTAAATGTCGAATGATAAACGCAATTTTAGTTGTTCTTATGAGAACCCCAATAATAAGAACACTACCTTCCTAAAGCACATGGACTAATCCAACAACAAGATATAGATACATAACTAACCAGATCGAGTGTTACTGAACGTACACAAAAACAAAGGAGAACAGAAGAAGAATGTTACAGATATAATAAGTATAAAATTTAGTTTTACAATTCAAAATAAGCATGAATTCAGTTTGTTTGCCTGTTGCTAGTTGACAGACAGAACCTTGTCAGCAATAAATTCTATAGCCTAAATTATATTAATTTTTAAGAAATCATTTTATAGTTTATACCCAGTTAAAAGTGATACTGCTTAGCCACAAATAAGTTCGAACGAACAACTGATATTATAATATTGTAATATTATCAATTGAATAAACTTAATTAGAAATAATAAAAGAGAATTTAATGGTAGAAACAAATTTAACAAATCGATTTAAATTAATTTATTGTTATTTTACTTTTGTATGAGATTAGTCATAAATACCTAAATTCACTCAGTGATTTTTGTTGCTTCAGTTTTTTGACAATGTCATCACTTGCGTCTGAGAGGCGTGCTCTAGCGGTGGATGGGAGTAACATGCAAAGGTGTGTGTTACTGCTGTCCTTTCTGGTGTCGTTTTTTTCAACGGGCATGACAACATTGGCTGATAAAAAACATTACTTAGATCGACTGGTGCTATGAATACTAAAACTTATTGTTCGATTCTATGGATAAGCAAAACTAACATATTTTTCCAAAACACAATATTAATGTTGAATGATATTACATATCTTGCCTAAATAAAAATTACTTAAAACTTGACCCATGATTGTTTGAAGTTCTTAAGACTAAGCACACACATTATTCACGGGTAAACTTAATAGTATTTCTAGTTTTGTACTTCAAATTTGTATACTAATATCTTTAAAGATAATTATTTACAAACTCTTTTTTTTTTCACCGTAGAGTTTAATGTACAAATAAGATACGGCATAACAAATAATGAAAATTAAAAGTATCTTTATCATGTTCATCTTTCATTGCAAAACAGCGAGTAAAACAAATACGTGTAACTGAAATAACAATAGCTAATAAAATAAAACAGAAATAAGCATCAATTGACTCACCTGGATTTAAGTAAAGATGTCGTTCTTTAGTTGGGCCACTAAAAGTTTGAGCGTTTTCATCTCTCGCTGGAATGTATGCTGTATTCTTGAAATAAAATCATGCAATTAGAATATTTGGTTAAGATGGAAATACGTCAAAATATAATATGTACAAAATGGTTGGACACATTTTGAAACTTTCTAGTTTTATACAAAGAAAGTTACGAGCATGTAGTCAAGTACATGTTTGTCTAAAATTCCAAAGTTTTAATTTATTTTGTCAGAAATACGCAGAACTGGCCATCTTGCTGTAGCCAAAATTAACTGATGGTCACAAGGCGAATTATGAAAGGGGAACACGGAGATGTGTAACTTGAATGATATGAGCTCAACATATTATAGCACTCAACATAATAAGTGTAAATCTATGTGATATTAAAAATAGGTTCTACTTCTGTGCTCTTCTCTGTAACAGCGAAAGAAACGTTAAAATTTCGTGATATATATATTGTTTTTTGAAACAGCTATTTGTGGGATAATACTAATAAATCTGTTTCGGTACAATGTTTCGTCTCTATCACGTGCAACATTCAAAGTGTAAACGCATTCAATCAAATGAATGTGTTTATGATGATACTAGCTCCATCTGTTTTTAATGTAATTAACCTATTACAAATATAACGGTATTCTTGATGTTTTATTAGCTTCATGTACGACTAAGTAAAAACACTAGTTAAACGTAAAACCTAATATTCTAACCAAACCAGGAACCAACCATAGTTGTATAAATAAAAGAATAACAAAAGAAAAAATGGAAGCACAAAGAGAAATAACAATTAAATTCAACATTATGAGCACTATTATATTTCTATTAAGTTAATAGAAATATTAAGTTAATTAAATTAAACATCAGATGAAGCTAGGCTCATCATGAACACAATTATTTGATTGGACGTGTTCGTAATTGGATTTTTTGTACTTCTAAATTTGTACGTGATCATGTCTCACTGTTAGATATGATATTTTTGTTTCTCAGATTGCGAGTCAAGCGCCCTATCCACCGGGCCCTGTTAGATATGAAAGAAATTTATTGGTATTATTCAATAAATAGCTGTTTCAAAATATTATACATGTTTAATAATGGCTGGAGACGGCTTAAATGGGTAATGAAGAAAAGCTTTAATATAAGCTTAACATGACAGCAAATGTACAACGT